TCGTGTTGACGTTTCCAAATTCGCGCAAAATGGAGTTAGCATGAATAATTAGTACCAAATTCATGATTAGGAACGTCAGTAACCCTTACAAATAGACTTTGATTGAAAAACTGGTGAAAAAGGTGTGACTAGGGACCCCCTTTTCTGGTATTCAGAGGGCCGTTCAGGAAAAATTAACCATGGTTCTGTGGTTCCCGCATGTGCCCCTATATCATGCAAAAGACCGTTTTGAAAAAGCTTGGCACACCCTGAAAGACCTTCCTTGTAGAACTACCTGAAAAATTTTCAACAAGTAACCTAGTTCTGCACTTGATTCTTTCTGCACTTCGTTTTGCCCTGCTCCATTAACTCTGAGTCGTTTCCTGTTGGAGGTGGTCTTTTTCCTTTTGGTTCACAATTATTGGCCAACCCGTTAGCAGCAGAACACATTCGACGGTTGATTGGTTGGAGGACATTCATGGACCACTATTTAGCAATGCTTCTGCTATCGCTAGTTACCTTCTGACGTTTGAACCGCTAATGTTTCATAGGACATCTTGTGAGTACAATTCCCCTGTCATGAGTCGTTTTTGAAAGTCGCGAACTCTTCTACCTTTCTGTTTTCAATGAGAGCGATTGGTTGTTTATATCGGCTGCCTATCGCCACTTTTTCCTCTACTCCATAAATGATGATTGTCATCGTAAGTGTTGTCCTCCTACGGTGCAAATCCTGTCGCTTCGACCGTAACCCGGACCTTATGCTGGAAAACTGGACCAAGTCTGGAAGTTCGCGTTTTTCTTATAACCCAGCAGTTCATAATTAGTAAGAGTATTTGTAGCAACTGATATTACTGTATGAATATAATATTTTACGGGTAAAACCCTTTGCTTCAAATGCAACCAGGCCCAGAACTCATGCTTTCTGCGTAGCTGTGCCCCTCCCTGCATATAGTGACTATGTTTCGAACCAACTCCTCTTTCTCAATCCAACTAGTGTATTAACCAGAGCTGTAGCGAAACATAGACTACGTGGTGTAATGACTAACACTTCTGCTTATAAAGCACGAGGTCCTTGTTCGAAGCTACAGCAGTGTTTCACCCTTACTCTGTGCCTTTCACATGATTTTTAAACGGCAAACAGCAACGAAAAGAGGCAGGTAACAAAGTCAAATAGCTCAAAAGTTGTGAAAACAGCTCCCTCGGTTTCAAGTGACCAGATGCGCGTCGAGTGCAGACCACACAACCAAAGTTACGATGGCCCCCACGTAAATGTGTCGTAGTTACTGGTAGTTCATAGTAAGAGCTGACAGATGGTTAATGCAACTAGATTAGTAATATGAAAGAATCGAAGAAGAAGAAGCGACAGGCTAATCATTTCCTCGGCAGAAAACACATTTTGTGGGCCGTCGTCACTTGTAGACTCGACGCGCTTTTGGTTTTCTGGAACAAAGTGTATGTCCTCGGATGCTCAAAGCAGACCATGGAAACCAGCCGTCGATATTTGTTGTGTTTCAGGAAACTGCATGTCCGAATATATGGGGCTGATCGTCGGATGTTACGAGGCCAAGGAGGGAGGATTCCGTCCTGGAGGTAAGCAAATTTTCCTGTGATTTCCTTCGGCTTTGTCAAAAATCCACCTTTAAGGTGGCTCTTTGCATTCGATGATGACACCACATGGCCCAGACAAGACCTGCTTCGAGAAGGCCTCCAAAGATGCACTGAAGCCGCAACGTGTAGCAGAAGGAACCATGGTAAGTCATTTTATTGAGAACAGCATTTTTCTGCAGACAGATTTTCCGCTTGATGATAATCTTTTAATCACCAAAAATTAATCTTCCCATCCATATTGATGAAAAATGTTGTCGCAACAAAATGAAAACAGCTATTATATCGAACAACTTTCTTACAATAATACCAGAATAATTGAAACTAGACTACGATCTCCAAAAATAATATACAACTTCTAATAGATGTCAAATGAGTATTCAGCAAGGTTCGGCTAGAAATCGATTGCTCTGTCGGGGAGGAATTAGCATTTTATCTTTTTTTGTTACATTCGTAAATCAATTTTATGAAAGTTTTACTCTCTATAATGTTTAGTCATTAGTTCGCAGAGTCACTGTAACATGGTGATCACGGATAACGCTAAGCATGAGAACGTCGATCGTGACTACTACAAAGACTGGCAGCAACTGGAAAAACATTTCAAATATCCTGCGTGAGTTTCACTTCCGAGTTCGAAAATGTCTTACATTGTGATCAGTCCCACCCAAGGCTGACACAGCGCTCGCACTCCTTCACTGGAAACGTTTGAGCCTCCACCCATGTTTCACAAATCCATCTCAGACCTCCTCTGGCTTTGGATCTACCAAATGGCAGCCTTGATGAAACTGCCCGTTCTTCCCACCGGTAGGTGAGCTGATCCTATCATGAAAAAAGTTCCGAATGTCTCGCTTACTCGTTCAGCGCCGCTGCTGTCTCTGGGCAATGGAGATTTTTAACCCTTTGACGACCGCCGTTGTGCGTGCGTTGCTTCACTTCTTTTTAAATTTTTTCATCAATATCCATTAACACTCCAACAATTTCACTATTAGTAATTAGCACATTGTTTTGCGCTTTCGATAATGTATACAGGCAGCTTTGAAACACTCAAAAATGCCAAATAAATGACGAAAAACGAGTCGCCTCGAGTGAAAGTGTGGCCCACCGGCGGGCCACACGGTCGTCAAAGGGTTAAAGGCAGATGACACGAAAAGTTGGTCGTGCCTGGAAATGAAAGCAAAGGTGGCAATGGTGTAATGGTGAAGAAAAAACTCAGAGAGTGGTCTAACCATAACCCCACTGAGATTCCTTTATGCCCAACGATTTTCGCGCTGGACGAGATTCTTCGATAGATGACGTCATCATTGTTAATAACGCTCCGTCTTTCTACATTTTCTCGCCACAAACGACATCTCCTTGCCACTGACCAATCATAGCTCGAATCCAATACCTAGAGTTGGGCTCTTTTCGAAGGCCAACGCCAGTAAGACCCTGCTATGCGCTGGGAGCGTGCGTTCCGCGATTACTGCGACGTATCGCTTTTTAAGATCTACTCTTTTAGAGTACCCGACAGGAGGCCCGTCGCGCGGCAAGAAGGCAGAGTCAGCGGACGAGTCGCAGCGCGTGTGCGATGTAGGACGTACATGGTACATTCTAACTTGACGCGAAATCACTACAGTACGCGCTGCGACTCGTCTCGCTGACTCTGCCTTCTTACCTCGTGACGGACCTCCTGTCGTGTACCCTTTTATCGTATCATCTGCGCCTCCAGAAGAGCAACGGAGCCATCATTTCAGAGGCATCATCTGAAGTCAAAATACATGATCTAGTTCTTCCACGCAAGTCCAATTTCAAAAGTTACGGAATAGGGGTTCGCCGCAACTTTTAGGTTCCCGAAAAATCGTCGAACCTGATTTAACTAAAATTTCTCTGTGAACAAGCAATATCCCATATTTTTTTTTTATTTCAGGGCACCTCGAGTGATGCTCTCGCAGTGAGGCGCTATCAAAAACTGGAGGCCACAAAAACAACATATTTCATTAGATCGAGTAATTTTGGGATAAATATTCAGAGTATAGATGTCCTTCATCTGTTTACTATTGGTGGCCACCACCATGACGTATTTCGAATAGCATATTCCCTTCTATCGATATTTTTTGTAAATAATTATCTCTTAGCGTTCTGACTAGGTTGGTGTCATTCAAAGTGACAAAGCTCAGTGAAGGGCGTGAATGAGCGCTCCAACCATCGGTCCTGGCACATCATCACCAGGAAATGGCTACGCTAAATACCAAATTCGGTCCTCAGGTTTGTTGTATTTTGATATTTAACTTGAGTAACTGGGCCATCTGTTTGAGATCCAAAGATCACCTTTCGGGTGACTAGTGAGTGCCAGCGATGCGAAACGATAGAAGCCTTGACTGTAGGCAGCTATCAGTCAGCTGCCCCATTCGTTTCAGCAATAGATCACAATATGGGCTGTGTTTGTTGTAGTTTTAACTTGTTTACGTGATTTGGTGCTAAGTGAGTTGGGAGGGGGTGGGAACCACGCGACGGTACGGTCCCTTAGGCACTAAGCCTGAGATTATGAAGGAAGCTCAAAAGTGCCAAAAGTTTTTTTCTGCGAAGTCATAATCACATTGTTCGCAGTCTACCCACTCCTAGGCTCAGGTTTAGTGCCACCGCCCTCGAGAGACCGCGCCGCCGCGTGGTCCCTCCCCCTCTCCCCCCCCCCCCCAAATCACTTAGCGCTCGTGATTTCCTGTGGGGCAGCTTATTTTCTTTTGTTCTATTTTTTTCACATGATACATTTTTTTCAGGCATACCTAGGGTGTTAGCAACTGAATCGGAGGTCTTCACTCTAGACGATCATGAAGATGAGCGTCGAAGCAAACGATGAAACTCATCAACAGTAAGTTGATAGTCTGAGTGTTCATCGGAACTGAACCACTAATTACGATCGATTTCAGTGAAGAAACCGAGAAAAGTCGCCTATTTGATTGCCCTCTGGATAGCGATGAAGAAAAGGAAACAGCGCATGATGACATCGTGAACAATATGCGCCAACACAGTAGGTTTCCAAGCAGTTTCACTAGATCATTTTTCTTCAGTGCTATATAATATTTGGTAAGGAAAGTTCTTGCCGTTTTGAAAGTCCAATTTTCTAATGCATTAGTTCTGATTAAATTTTTTGGCTGCTGTATTTTGCACATTTTTAAAAAGCGCGTTTCTTGTTCAATCCATCGGGTAACCCCAAGGAGGCCCGTCGCGCGGCGAAGTCAGAGACGCAGGCGCGGCAGAGGACGAGTCGCACCGCATACTGTAGCGGTTAGGCGTCAAGTTCAATATAACGCATTACAGTACGTCCCACACCATTCACTCCACGGCGTGGGCTCAAAAATGCGATATCTGCTTAGTCACGCCGCTTATGCTTGTTTTCTTTGTACTAGTACATCCCTCCAGACTCAGTTACCCCCCGACTGCTCCTTTTTGTTATGCCTCTTGCCTTTCCTCGCCACGAAACTTATTGTTTGT